GGACATAAATGAACACCGAGACCTGAGTGAGGCATCTTACAAGCCCAGGAACTCTTGGAGCTACCAGAATCTGAAAGGTACAAGAAAGAAGGAATCGCCCTTAAAAGCTTTACAGGAAGCATGGCACAGTTACTGCATTTACCTAGAAATTTATTTCAGCATTCCTAATTTCCTATACATCTGCATTCTTTGAATCTCCTTTGAACTTGTGGTAAGATTTTACCAGTTCCCTTACTAATCAGTGAAATAAATGAAATATTTGACACATATTCCATTTATATCTGTGTGAGATTCTTTTTTTTATTATTATTATTGAATGGTAACTATGTACAATAATGCACTTCTGGGGTACAGTGTGGGGTTTTCACATGCAATCTGAAACACTTCCATCAAACTGGTCAACAGAGCCTTCATGTCATTTTCTCAGTTATTGTTTTAAAATGTTCACATTCTACTCTTAGAAAGATTCACTTGTACCCCTGTAAGATAAACCTCAGAAGTGATCCCTCCAATCCCCCTGCCTCCACCCATTCCCCCTCCCTTCTCCCTCCCTGTGTGAGATTCTTGATTTTACCTTCTTAAAAATTATCCTTTCACATGTGCTTCAGCTCTGAGACTGTGGCATCACCCAACCCAGGCCTTAGCAGGATGCAGGGAGGCAGGACACATCGGGGAGAGGAGAGTGGACCCTCTACATCTGAGATACGCAAGAGGAAGACTCAAGTCTTTTCCCCACTTTGGAATTTTCCCCCATCAAAGAGAAAAGATGCCCCCATGCAGTAGAAGTGATTCCAGCCTGAATACCCTCAGAAACTCAGAAGTACTCTGACCTGCACCTTAGAGGTGGCAAAAACAGGCTTGGATACCAACCTCTCAGGCTGAACCTGTGTAACACGCTGGCTAACAACAGCTTAACAGCTCGGGCTTGCCAAAGCAAAAGTGCAGCTGACAATGTTAAACAGGCAAGAAGACTTGAACTCAACTCTGCACAAACAAAGCATGGCAGGGTTTTTAAGAGCTAGAGTGAAAGGGAAACTGCAGGTCATCCGTGTTTGCTAATTGGCTTTACCTAGAGGGAAAGGGAACTTTCTGGGAGATGCTTTTACGGTTCAGAGCAAGACATTTACCAAAGTTAGGCTCTCACCTTCCTGGGTGTTTACTATAATATCTTCTTTGGTGTTTGCATTTCAAAGCGATAGTTCCTAGGACTTTGAGAAAGACACTTTCTGGATTGTAACTGAAAGGGACTTTTATAGAGATTTACATACACCTCAAAGGAGCAAAGAAAGAATTTACAATGACAAGTTTTCTTAAGTAAATGCTTTAAGAAACAGGAGAGAAATGTTATGGCAGTCTTGGTTGGGCTAGGCAAAGCTGGCCTGTCTGGGTTCAAACTCAAGGTCTACTACTTATTAGTTGCGTGACCTGGGGCAAGTATCTCAATCTCTCTGGTCCTGAAGTTCCCATCTTGTAAAATGCAGACAATTAATACTTAGTTCATAGGATGGTTGTGTAGATTAAATATATTAATCCAATTATGACACTTAAAACAGTACCTAGCACGCAATAAATGTGAGTTAATTATGTCACCATTCTAATCCTCAGTTTCCCCAATCATGCCATCTGAGAATTTATATGAAAAATCAAACAAGATTATAGATGCAAAAACCAATAGCACAGACCTGGCATCTGGTAATACTTTCTTGACTTACTAACATCCTTATAACTATAGTTACTATTACTGATATTATCCCTTGTACATACATTACAGCATATGTGGTATATAGTATAATAAGAGCTCAAGCTCTCATGAATCCTGTTTTTTTACTGTAATAGTTACTATTACTGATATTATCCCTTGCACATACATTACAGTATATGTGGTATATAGTATAATAAGAGCTCAAGCTCTCATGAATCCTCTGTTTTGTTACTGTAATAGTTACTATTGTTTTGTTTTACTACCTTATACTATTCCCCACTATTAATAACAGTATTAGCAGCCAGGTGTAGTGGCTCACTCCTGCAATCCTAGCACTCTGGGAGGCAGAGGCAGGAGGATCCTTCAGCTCAGGAGTTTGAGACCAGTCTGAGCAAGAGTGAGACCCTGTTTCTACTAAAAATTGAAAAATTAGCCAGGCATTGTGGTGGGTGCCTATAGTCTCAGCTACTCAGGAGGCTATAGCAGTAGGATCACTTGAGCCCAGGAGTCTGAGGTTGCTGTGAGCTAGGCTGATCCCAGGGGACTCTAACCTGGGCAACACAGTGTGACTCTGTCTCAAAAAATAGAAATAAAATATAACAATATTGGCAATATTACTATTATATCTCACTATTCCCCACATCTGACCCTTCCCACCAAGTCATCCCAAAGCCTACCAGGACCTCTCATTCCCAAGCCAGTCTTTTCCTCTCTGGGGGCCTCTAGGGCCAGGCCCTCATCTGACTGGAGAAGCTGGAGAAGTCACCATTACCAGGAAGTGACTGATGGCAGCACTGTCAAGCCCTAGACAAGTGTGATGCAGTGGGTGATCCTTTATAAATCAGATGGATGAAAGGACGGGCATAGTAGCTCACACCTGTAATCCTAGCACTCTGGGAGGCTGAGGCAGGTGGATTTCTTGAGCTTGGGAATTTGAGACCAGCCTGAGAAAGAGTGAGACCTTGTTTCTACCAAAAATAGGAAAAAAATAGTTAAGTGTTGTGGCAGGCACCTATAGTCCCAGCTACTTGGAAGGCTGAGGCAGGAGGATCACCTGAGCCCAAGAGTTGGAGGTTGCTGTGAGCTATGTTGGCACAGCACTCTACCCAGGTGATAAGAGTGAGACTTTGTCTCCAAAATAAAAAATACAGATAAAAATAATAAATAAATAAATAAGATTGATGGTAGGGAGGGTGGAGCCTGGGGAGGGTGCACAAGCCCAGATTAGACGAAACCTGCCCCTGTCCCCAAGTGTTGCTAAAAGTCCCACTTACTCCTCCATGCTGCTTGATGGTTTCACCCATCTCCTCCTCCCCAGTGGGACCACCAACAAGCTGGTAGACCCCAGGAGATCAAGGCAGACCAATTCCAACTTCCCATAGGGCTGTGGCTCTGCGTCTCAGCTCCTCTGTCCTGTGAAAAGCTTGCCTGCCTCAGCTCAGCTTTCAGAGATTATTATAAGAAATGAAGTGGAATTACTCCTTATACAAAGTCACTAAGTCTTTATTGAAGCCTTTATGTGCCAGAAACTAACAACACAGAGGCATAGGCACTGGTCCCTGCCCTCGAGGAGCTCACAGTCTAGTAAGCAAGACAGAGGAACTGACTCCCAGGAAGATGGAAGGGCAGCTCAGTGCTTGGAGGATGCAACTGGTGCCCGGCCTGCCCCCATGTTCCAGGCTGGCCAGGAGAAAGTGAGAGGGGAACTTAGCATCCACTCTCCCACCTTCCCTGTGACAGCTGCCTTCTCTCACTCTGTCCTAGGCATCAGGAGGGGGCCAGGGAGAGACAAAGATGAGAGGGATACAGTTGCTGCCCTCAAAAAGCCAGAACACCATGGCAGGATATATACAACAGTAACTTTATTTCCCAAAGCTGCAAACCAGTGCAGCAGAAGCTGGGGATACTGGGAGATATTGGACGGAAGGATAGTGACTGGGCCAGCCCAGTCCAAATTGGAAAAGGGAAGTAATGGGAAGAAGAAGAGGTGCCCAAGGCCAGGGAAGTAAGTGAGAGGGAAGTTTCCAGGTGGAGAAGCTCACAGTAGGACACCAGCAGCCACGGCCAAGAGAAATGCCAACAACTTGGCCGTGGGAGCTGCAGAGCCTTTATTAGGGAGATGCTGGGCTCCACCTTTTTGGGGATACTGCTCCATGTTACTGCGATCCTGGTGGACAATGGGGCCTCCAGTCAAGTTGGTCTCCTCTCCTCCTGAGGCCTCGTGCTCTACTTTCTGTGTAGGGGTCTGGGTGGTTGGGGCTTGGGTGGGTTTGGTGGTGGGAGTGGAAGTAGTTGATGCCAGGGTGGAAGTGGCAACAGAAGTGGTTGAAGCCACAGTAGTGGCCTTTGGAGCAGGCAGAAGGACAAGGGGTGGGAATTTAGGTGAGAAGTAGGTCCTGTTGCGGAGGTCAAAGTTACAGCGGGACCCCTGGCAGCAGGAGCCACTGAGTGTGAACCCCGGGCCTGTCACTCCATCCCGGGTGCAGAACTCATCCTGGACACAGCCCCGCACAGGTAAGGACACAGTCACATTTGCTGCAGGAGGAAGACACAGATAGATCAGTGGTTGGAGGAAGGAAGGTTGCCACAGCCAGAATGAAACTTAGGGGCATCGGGTAAAGACAAGAGCAGAGTACCCCCTAAATGGGACAGAGGGGCTCTGCATCATTAATCCAAAAATCTTAACTCATTTCTCACTCTGAGAAATAGACACAGAGTCTTTGGCACTTGGTGGACCACGTTTTCCATAGTGCTTTGAGAGGAAAAGTGTGCAGGCTGAACTACAAGTGTGCCTTGCAACAAAGTCTGGGACACAACATGTCTCACAAAAACAAAGGCTGGAACAAACTTCACCTGCGTCCCTCTGCCATTTGCCCCCATCTCTCAGCCACCTCCCATGTCCACATCAAAATATAGTCTTAGAGTCACAACTACATCTCCCATAGTACACCTGGCGGAGGATGGGGTTTGAAGAACTCTCATGGTCCCATGAGGTAGGGGCCAGGAGGCTGAACCACTTTTCTCCTAGTACTCTGAAACAGGTGGGGACCCTTCGATTTTAAAGGCTCAGAACTAGATTTCTCACAGTACCTGGCAGAAGCTGAGAGACTTAAATACATTTCCCATGGCATGTCCTCCCATTCTGTACCTGGCAGCCCTCTATGTATTAATGTATTTTCCCCAAAATGCTGTGGGACAAAAGCAATTTCCCCAGTATTCCCGTGCGGTATTGTGGGAAGAGACTGCATTTCCCACGATGCTGTCTCTCGAGTCAGCAATCAGGCCTGCAGCTACCGGGATGCTCTGGAGGTGGGGAACTCTGTGGGTAAAGGGCTCCCTACTGCCCAGCGAGGCCCAGAAAGGAGCTGCCTACCACAGCTCCTGCAGGTCCTGTGCTCCAGGGGTCGCTCACCTGCTGTCAAAGTCACGTTGCCGTCGAAGCAGCCTTTGTAGACCTGGTCACCAGCGTTGTAGCAACTCACGACGGGTGGCGCGGTCCCCTGGCAAGCCTCGCGGCTCAGCCCCACGCAGCTGTAGCACTCCATGCCGTTGGGCCTGTACGCACTCTCGTTACCTGCGAGGGGAGGAAGGGGGCTCGAGTGGGCTCAGGAACAGCAGCTCGGTCTCTAGCCCCGCTCTAGAGCGTGACCACGCTTCACTGGAGATACAGCTTACCGGCTCATAGCCCTGCCCCCCAGAGTGCCACCTTCCGGTGCTGGCCGCAATGAAGCCCGGCCAGCTCTTTCTTGGCCCAGTTCTGGAATGTGACCCCGCCTGCGTCCTGGCCGAGTACTCCCTCCAAGGCCACAGCTTCACCTCCAGACCCGTAGCTCCGCCCCAGGGCTACGGTCCCGCCCCCACGGACCTGCCGGGTTGAGCGTCCTCGAGGTGAGGTTGAGCTTGGAGTTGCAGCGGTCTTGGGCGCATTGTTGCAGCTGGATGAAGGCCAGAAGCCCGTGAAGGTCCAGTCCGCGGTCATTCTTGCCGCGAAGTCCCGAACCGCAACCCCGCACTGCTACTGAGAATTGTCCGTGGACTGTGGAGAGGGGAGGAGCGGGGGTCAAATGCGGGTGGGGACCGTGAGAAGGCGAAGCCTCAGATAGGACAATACCGGAGAATGGACAGGCCGGGATGGGTAGGAGGGGGGCTCTAAAAGAGCAAACTAGAGGGGAAAGGACTGCCGTAGGGTAGAGGGGCGGGGTCATGGGAGACCTCAAAGAGCTGAGTCCCAGGGTACGGAGCCCATGGCAGGGATAAGGAGGTCTCAATGGGGGAGTGGAAAAGGTGGATAAGGTGAGCCGTCCTCCCAACCCGGATTCTCCCAGTCCAGCCCACCTCCTTCTCAACTCTCAGCTGGGAACCCCACTAATATCAGAGAAAAGGTCAGGCCTGGACGAAGGGGCAAAACAGTGTTGAAGGGTTCTGGCCAGACGGAAAGGGAGGGATGGGGCCGCGTTAAGGGGGTATGGCCAGATTCCAAGAGGACTGTGAGAAGGCGGAGCCTGAGGGGCGCGCCTGGACCAGGGGTCCCACTCACTGGTCTCCACCGCCCCCACAGCCTCCGTGCAGACGTCCACGCCCGGCCCGCACTTCACCGTCTTCATCTTGTGCGGAGAGCATCCATCATCTGCTCTCTGTACGCAGCTGTAGCACTCCAGGGCCTGCGTTCCTGTGGTACGGAGCCAAGTAGAACTGATGGATCCTTGGCAAAGCCTCCTCCCCCAGCAGAGAAATAGTCCTTCCCACGCCTTCCGTCCCCGGGATGAGACAATCCTATTGCACACACTTTTCCAGAACTGAAGTAGGTAAAATCTTCCCACAAATCCGGGAGCACCGGATACAATGGACCCTTTTCCTTCACGTCCTGATGCCTGTGACGGGAGCATCCATCCCACAGCCCCGTGTGCCCACTGTGGCTGACCCCTGCCATGGGGCCCCTCGTGCCAGGGCGGGGAGGGTATCTTCTTACAGTTCTCTGCTCAGAATGGAAATACTTTTCCCGCAGCAGTCTGTGTTTCATAAGTGAGCCCTTCCTACGGCCCTCTTCTGCTCAAGATGAGAGAACTCTGCCCATAGCCCCTCTGCCCAGGACAGGGGAACTTTCTACTATTTCTACTCAGGATAGAAGTACTTTCCCCACAGTCCTTTCTGCCTGTAGTGGGAGATCCTTTCCACAGCCCTTTCTGTAGGGAGCTGGGGCAGCCTCCCCCCTAACAACTCCCTCCTGGCAGCCGGACCCACCTTGGTTAAGCAGCAGCGGCAGCAGCAGCCAACCTGTCCTCCAGATCACCGCCTGAGCACCTGCTTTCCCGACGGGGTCCATGGCTCCGTCCTGCTCCTTCGGCGTCCCCCCTGGGTGTGCCGTCTCCCAGCCCGGGCCCTCTTACCTGAGCCCAGGATGAGTAACCTACCCTGGGGCAACTCTGGCCTTGCCCAACCGGGCCAACTCAGCGTCCGCTGTGGGGCGGGGCCCCGCCCCTAGATGTGTCTCCCCCGCCCCTAGATGTGTCACCCGTAGGGAGAGCGGCCCCTGCCCTGTGCAGTTGCTAAGGAGGGAAAGGGCCGGAGTGGATTTTCCCTAACAGTTCATGGGAGAAAGTCTGTGTGTTTGGGGGTTGAGTAGGGGACGGGCAGAGAGTACTGGGCTCAAAGAGAGGCAGGGGCCAACTTTTAGCATTCAGTGGGCATCTACAGTGTGCCTGTCTTTGATCTGGGTGGTGCTGGAGCTTAAGGCTGAACCAGCACCTGTCTTCACAGAGCTCAGTCTAGTGGGAAGGAAGGATGTTACTCAAATAACCATACAAATTATTACAACAGAGATTAGGATCGTGAAAGAAGTGTAGGGAACTACAGGAGGTATGGAGTCTAGAAGTGGGGGCCAGCCATTGAAGGCTTCCCTGAGAATGTACTTGGAGATATGACCCCAAAAACATGAAGGATTTAGCCAGGTGGAGTGGGTCAGAGTGGGGGCAAAACACATCACAAGCAGAGGGAGCAGCACGTGCAAAGCCCTAGTGTGTGGACCAGGCGGACACAGGGGGTAGGGCAGTGCACCCGGAGCTCAGAGGGCTCTGGGAACAAGTGTGGAAGCTGAAGCAGAAGATCAGGTGTAGGGACCCGACAATTCAGGACACCACAGGTCCTGCGAAGAGATTTGGACTAATTCTGAGAATGATGGAGAATCATCGAAGGGGGTCTAAATCCCCTGGGGGACATGATCAGATTTGATTCTTAATATGATAAAACTGAGAAATAAGAAATGAATGGAAAAATGAAGAAGGGTTCACTCATCCAACAAAATACTACATGGCAATGGGAAAGTTCTGAAGACTGGAATGCACAGCCACACGGATGAATCTCAGAAACTCTGTGTCTAGCTGGCTAGGCCCGATGGCTCTTGCCTATAATCTCAACACTCTGGGAGGCCCAGGCCAGTGGATTGCTTGAGCTCAGGAGTTGGAGACAAGCCTGAGCAAGAGTGAGACCCCAACTCTACTAAAAACAGAAAAGCCAGGTGAGCATTGTGGTAGGTGCCCATAGTTCCAACTACTCAGGAGGCCAAGGCAGGAGGACTGCCTGAGCCCAAAAGTTTGAGGTTGCTGTGATTTAGACTGACACTACAGCACTCTACCCAGGGTGACAAAGTGAGACTGTGTCTTACAACTTTCTGTTAATCTAAAGAAACCTTAAATAAAACAAAACATACTGTGTAACTCTATTTATATGAAGTTCTAGAGCAGACAAAACTAACCAGTAGCAATAAATCAGGACAGGCATACCCTCTTAGGGAGGGCATGGCCCCAGAAGGAGCAGCAGGGAAGAGCCCTCACTATCTTCAGCTCGGTGCTTATGCACTTCACTAGATATGCATTATTTTTCAATAAAAACAAAGGGGAAAAGGTCACTATGGTCTCTGCATAAAAAAGAAAAAGGACTCTAGAAAGGATAAGAGAGAGAAAACCAGGAAGCCAATGAGGGAGATGGGTGGTTTTCCAGGTAAGAGAGAGAAAAGCCACCCTGACAGTTGAGAGTTGGCCTGGCACACACAGCAAGGCCAGAGCAACAACATCAGACAAGGCCACACTGTGACGTTGAAGGATCAAGACAAAATCAGGACCACCCCATAATCAGGTCTGAACACAGACACAAACAAGACCATTGTGCAAACCACAAAATGACTAAGCATCCCCATATCCTGGCTAATAGACGTGGCTGATTATATTATCACATTAATATACATTACAACTTTAACCTTGCTTTTTTTCTCTTACCTCATAAATAGGATTTATGAAAATATCCAATCACAGCACTAGCCCTACTTATAATCACCACACATAAGCCCAAATCTTAAAATAAGTCTTTTTTTTTTTTTTGAAACAGAGTCTCACTATGTCACCCTCAGTAGAGTAATATGGCATCACAGCTCACAGGAACCTCAACCGCACGGGCTTAAGTGATTCTCTTGCCTCAGCTTCCCAAGTAGCTGGGACTACAGGCACCCGCCATAACACCTGGCTATTTCTTTGTTGGAGTTGTTATTATTGTTTGGCAGGCCAGGGCTGGGTTTGAACCTGCCAGCCCTGGTGTATGTGGCTGGTGCCCTAGCTGCTGAGCTACAGGCACCGAGCCTAAAATAAGCCTTTTTAAAAAAAGATTCACAGCCTGGCGCCTGTAGCTCAGCGGTTAGGGGCCGGCCACATACACCTGGCCTAGGCCTACTAAACAACAATGACAACTACAACAACAACAACAAAAAAGCCGGGCATTGTGGCAGGCGCCTATAGTCCTAGCTACTTGGGAGGCTGAGGCAAGAGAGTCACTGAAGCCCAAGAGTCTGAGGTTGCTGTGAGCTGTGATGCTACAGCATTCTACTGAGGGTGACATAGTGAGACTCTGTCTCAAATTAAAAAAAAAAAAATCAGATTAATATTAGAGTACAAACGATTAGGTTATAGTGTTTGCATTTGTTAGGTAAGGTCCCTATTGTAGTTGTGTCTCCCAGCCAGGAGGTGTGCCACATACCCTTACATTGTGCCCATTAGGTGGGAGCCCACCAATCCTCCTCCTGCCTCCCCTCTCCCCCTTCGCTCCACTCCCTGCTCCCCTACCCCTTCCCTCTTCTCCTCTCTCCAGACTCTTCCCCCCCAAAATAAGTCCTTTTAACACACCTTTCTGAGATACCTCACAGTTTCCTTATAATGTGCCTTCTCCCTCACTGCAAGGAGGAAGAAATAGAGCTCATTCAACCACCGGTGGGGAACATTGACACAGGCAAGAGGTGATGTGACTTGGTTTCCTTTGTGGGAGCCAAGGAAAGATGAAAAGTGGAAAGATCCAAAATATTTGAGAAGGAAGAACCAGTAGAAATTAAGGATGGATCAAATGTAAAGCAAGAGGCAGTGGGAGGTTTCCAAGATGATTCCAGGTAGTTTTTGCCATAAGTCACATCATGGTAGTGATAATAATGAATACTAAGTATCAAGTGTTTACTGTGTGCCAGATACTTTTTGTTGTCCTTGTTGTTGCAGTTTGGCCAGGGCTGGGTTTGAACCACCACCCTCAGCATATGGGGCCAGAGCCCTACGCACTCAACCACAGGTGCCACCTGCCAGATACTGTTTTTGAACATGGGGCATGGATTGTCTCTTTTAATCTTCCTCCTTAAGATAGTATCATTTGGGCACCCTCATACCGACGGTGGCAGGTTTAAACCCAGCCTTGGCCAAACTGCAACAAAAAAATAGCTAGGTGTTTTGGCGGGCGCCTATAGTCCCAGCTACTGGGAGGCTGAGGCAACACAATCACTTGAGCCCAAGAGTTTGAGGTTGCTGTGAGCTGTGATGCCAAGGCACTCTACCAAGTGAGAGTGAGATTCTGTCTCAAAAAAAAAAAAAA